TAATAATGTACTTTTACTAACTTATAAGCAAACAAAGTAATTGTTATTTTATATATTAATCCAAAATAATAAACAGATTTTTATATGTTTACCATCAATAAAATATATAACAAATTAAAAATATACATTAAAATTGTTAATTTTACAATACGAATAAAAATTGTTTTTATATAAAATATAATCTTGAATATTAATTATTAAAATGTTATTTTATATGTTACTAATTAACTAGTTTTATGTTGAAATTTAGTTGGATATAAATATTTATAGCAAACAATCAGAATCAAATTTTTTTAAATATATTTTGGAGAATGTTTTATTTAATTAAACAAATGCTGTAATTCTTATATAAAATTAAATGTCTTATAGTTTACGACAAACAGTGAAAGTAAAGTATTGATCGAAAGGAGATTTAGTAAAATAAAAAATAATTTAATAGCATTTCAAGAATTTACTAATTGAACCAAAAAGAAACTCACGATTTGAAGCAAAAAACCCATCATTAATGATGTCTTAAAAGACTTCAAGTATTCTTACAGTATATACTGTATAATAAAACTGTTGTTTAGTGTCGGGCACTATTTGGGCACTATTTGGGCAAAATAAAAAATTTCCAACAATTTTGAGAAATTTCTCAGTCTATAGGAATCCCATTGTATTTCATGGGAATGGTTCATGACGTTATATATGATAGTACACCCATATGGTCCTATTTTATAGTATTAACTGTTTATATTGAGTTTAAAATTAAAACAAGTATTTATGCTTAAATTGTGAGATTTATTTTTAAATTTTTGGTTTGTATCAAAGATTAAGTTTAATTCAGCCCAAACTTCAGCCAATTGGTGCATTATTGTGTATTTTATCATTTCAGTACATGCATTAATAGCTAACATTTTTAATTGAGCATATTTTATTTTCGTATTTATTACCTTAATTATTCAATATTTGGAATAAATTTCTCGAAAAATTCATTCAATAGAAATTTCTAAGAACACTACTGTTGTTACAGTACAGTACAAGTGTATACTCTAATAAATATTTTAAGTTTAATTTAATATTGCAATAATATTATGGCATTCCAATAGAAAATTAATTTAATTATTCACAATAATAAAAACATTACATTTTACATGATTTGTATAATTAATTAATTTTAATATACAATAATTTTTAAAAATTCAATTTGTTTTCTTATAATATTAGAGTTTAAGAATTAAATTCTTATGAAATATATTTCACTAATTAAATGGATGTTTTGAGTAATTGTTATCAAATATAAGTTATTAAATAAGAAATGTTTTTAGAATATCTTAGTAGTTGTTATTATTGTTAAGGAAAGTTATGTATTTTATAAAGTTGTAATTGATATTATTCATAAATAATAACCATGGTTATTATTGAATGGCGTCAATTGTATCGAATCTATATTTCAATTATAATAAAATTTAAATAAGTATAACAAAGAGAGAGAGAGAGAGAGAGAGAGAGAGAGAGAAAAGAGTAATTAATTCTAATATTTAAATTGTAATCCAATTTACAGGCCTTTGAATAACTGATTGCAAAAAGAGGATATGTTTAAAATAACTGACCAGAAGTGACAGGTTTTAAATATTATAAAAATATGATTAATGCAATTCATGTATGCAATTGTTTGCACATTCATTCAAACTCCCGGTGCCTTAAATATTACTCTATTATAATTAAAAATTTTTGTCCACAATATATGTAACATTATATAGAGTTGTGAAGCGAACGACGCGAACATATTCTGTATAAAATAAATTCATGAAATGAAAAATCACATTCAAATCTGTCGACATTTTTCTAATTTTTGCTGATTTTCTCACTTTCAATATATTATATTTTCAATGAATAAGCGTTTTCTGCATAATTTTAAACACAAATTTTCAAAATCTCTTATAAATTGAATGAATTGAAAGAAATGTTTTTCAAATTTTGTATAAAAAACGAATTGTGAGAATAATAGTAAACAAAATGCCATAAAATTCATTAAATCGAAAATATTATGCAAAATATGCAATCAATTGAGGTTTTCTGCAAAATTTAACTTGTATATTGTATACACTTTTGAATGAACTCAACAACTGATTTGTTATATTGTATAGATTTTATTTTTAAAATGCCATGGTTTTAACACACAAATAGATTTATACATGCATATTCTTTGTTAGTAAACAAACCATATCTATTTATGACCAAACTATTAACAAGTACAATTTACAATAATTGTTGTGAACGTTAATTGCCAACTAACGAGTGGTGCATTGAATAAGCAAGTAATTTGTTTGGACAGGTGTGGGGTACGCGGCGGCGGTGATGGCATTTTGGTTGAACGTGTACTACATTGTGGTGCTTTCGTGGGCGATGTACTACTTGTATCACTCGCTGTCATATGACGTCCCGTGGAGGGGCTGTTCCAACCCCTGGAACTCTCCAAAGTGTAAATCGGAGTACGACTTGGCGAGCACTGAACGCGAGTGCTTTATTAAGTACGGGCCGACCACTGCTTTCTGCAAAACCAACTCTTCCCACTTCACGAGTCCTGTCAAAGAATACTGGGAGTCAGTACTACTTCATAGCCAATGCACACCACATTGTTTTGCTTGTCTAACGCATCCATATTTGTGATTGTGTTTCAGGAAGAATGTTCTTCAGCAGACCTCAGGCATGGGTGAAATCGGAGGCTTGCGATGGCCGCTGGCCTTAACACTACTCATAGCGTGGATCGCCTGTTATTTCGCCATTTGGAAAGGGGTTAAATGGACCGGAAAGGTAATCACCATATTCTTTGCCAGCATTTTTATATATTTTATTATTACAAATATTTTTAGAAATTATATATTTAAGTATAATTATTGATTAAAATTTAGATTTCTACCAACCTTTTGCAACTAAATTTAAACATGATTTATTTTGACAAATTTAATATATAGTTTTAAATAATTACTATAAGTTATAACTAACTATATTTTTCTTATAAATTTTAACAACAAAATTGAGTGAACGTGGGACATATTTTTGCGTCAAAATTAATATGTTAAGTAATATGGAGATTTAGTCGTATTTAAAATCGATATTTGCGTTTATTATTGAATAAATTTAAATGAAAAATATTCAAACATTATTATTTATTAGTTATGAAATTTGATTGAATATAAATTATAATAATCTTTAATTATTAAGATAAAAATTAGATATTTGTTATATTGTTAAAAATTTCGTTTAATAAATGAACTAATATTATATAATAATAATAACTTTATTAGCCATGTTGGTTAATACAATAATTTAAATTGAATTAAAAATTATAATTAAGATTCACAATAAAATGTTTTACAATTAGTTAAAAATATATTAAAATTAGTTTTATTTCTTATATGTTTTGGTAATGCATTAAATAAGTCAATAGAATATATTTAAAAAACGTTTTTATTACAGAATCTGATTCTAGTATTAGTTTTGAGAAGAATATTTCCATTTCTCTGATTATGCGATAATTTATACATTTAAATATGACGTTTAGCTCAATAATTATAATTGATTGACTGATTTAATAGTATAAGAGTTAACATGTTTAAATTTACAAATTATTGTTTTGATAACATGTAATCTTTAATAATATTTGGGTAAATGTTAAAACTAAGAAAGCAATATTTTGAGACCAATAAATTAATAAGGTTTACTATATACTATATAATTGTCACATCGTTTATATAGAATAAATTCTGTGACCATTTTAAAGATATATCCATATTTGCAATTTTTATATCATTGTATATCATTGTTAGTATATCATTGAAATAGGATTCTTGACATAAAGTATAGCCAATCACAAGAATATAAGCTTTGTGTGACCACAAAATCCCTTCAATGCTAACAATAAATTGAAAAATTCTTGATACAAATATTTTGACAATTCTAGAAATTTTTTTTAAATAGTAACATAATAATAAAGCAACCTTTTGTTATTTGTTTTAAACATACAAACAAATTATTTTGTATTAAGTTAATAATTACAATTTTTATAAGAATCATCACATTTTTTAAATAAATTTATAAATTGAGATAATATTTTTCAATATGTTATTAAATGACGGAATATATTGTGTATTTCACTGTACAGATCGTGTATTTCACTGCTGTCTTCCCATACGTATGTTTGGTTATACTGTTGTTTAGGGGAATAACACTTCCCGGCGCTTGGGATGGCATTATGTATTACTTGACACCAAAACTCGACCGTTTAGGAGATTCGCAAGTAATTGATTCATTAAAAATACATTTCGCTAATCATTGCCATAAAATATGGTTACTGTCTGTCTCTCTGCGGACAGCCATATAATAAGACAATATGTTTGGTGTGTTTTATATGAGACATGTGTATTATATATATTGTCAGGTATGGAGCGATGCGGCCACACAAATCTTTTTTTCATACGGCCTCGGATTAGGCGCATGGATCGCATTAGGCAGCTATAATAAATATAATAACAATGTTCACAGGTTTATACAACTTTATTCTCTGTTAAACTCAATATTGGGATATATTTTCCAACCGAATATATGGTTTCGTTTTGATAACAATATGATTACATTTTTTTTAATTTCTACATTTGTGTCGCGGAATTGCAGGGATTCGCTGATCATATCGTGTATAAACAGCGGAACGTCAATATTTGCCGGTTTTGTTGTGTTCAGTATTATTGGATTCATGGCTCGACAGCAGAATAAGTCCGTAGAACAGGTGGCCGTTTCTGGTATGTCAAATAGATTCCCGCATTTTCGTCACATTTTAATTATAAATTCCTTTTCTCTATAATTCGTGAAAATATTTTTTGTTTGCAAATTTTATTTATAAATTTCTTTTTAAAAACTGATTTTTAAATTGTTTGCATATTTTCAAAAATATACTTTTAATTTAATAATTAAATTGGAAACCATTGAGACAATTATTAAATTTGAAGTTTAATAATGAAGGTTCCGGTTTGGCATTTCTGGCGTACCCCTCGGCCACACTTCAGCTCCCAATCTCTCCTCTTTGGGCCGTCTTATTCTTCCTGATGATCATTATGTTAGGTCTGGACAGTCAAGTGAGTGATATTTCAAACATCTTAAATACAAACTCATTCATCAAACTATTATCTCAAAGCATTCACTGATAATAAAGCGAAATAATCTTTTCTAATCATTCTTACGGAATATTATCTTAAGTTATAAAAACATAATATTTAATGAATTAACTGCAATGTTTGCATTTGAATTGAATGAGCAGTTCTGCACAATGGAGGGCTTCTTCACTGCAGTGATCGATGAGTTTCCGCGTCTTCTTCGGCCCCATAAGGAACTCTTCATTTTATTCGTTTGTATCATCTCTTACTTAATTGGACTTATATTCGTTGTCGACGTGAGTGTCAAATATACCAAATATAGTATTTTATATAATATTAGCATTTTTTAAACAAATTAATTTCTTCTAAAAATATTCCGTATTTTATATTTTATAAATTCAATCTATTATTGACTCCCGATATCTAAAAACGGTTCAATTATGTTAACGAACACAATAGGGAGGGATGTATTGGTTCCAGTTATTTGATTCATACGCCTCGTCTGGCTTTGCGCTCCTGTATCTCGTTTTTTTCGAAGTGGTGGCCATTTCCTGGTCTTATGGTATTCTAAACATTACATTCAATATTCAATATATTAGTTTATTTTATCATATATTCACTCAATACGACCCAAACATTTAATTTTGACACAAAAAACAGGAGTAAATCGATATTATGCTAATCTGGAGGATATGCTCGGGGGAACTTTGTGTATTTGGTGGAAATGTTGTTGGTTTGTCTTCACTCCCACCCTATGCTTTGTAAGCCAATAAATATATGACTGAATGTAACAAAACGTTATTCTGTTTAAGAAAAATCTAATTACGATACGATTTTGAATATTTAGGGAGTGTTTATATTCAGTTTGGTTCAGTACAAGCCTCTGAAATACATGGATTACGAGTATCCCTGGTGGGGACAAATGATCGGCTGGTTCTTAGCGCTATCATCCATGCTTTGCATCCCTGTTTACGCCATTTATATCTATTTCAATACACCCGGAGATTTCTCTGAAGTATAAATTAATATATAAATTCAATAATGGCTTTATTTTAATTCACTTAATTTCTATTTGGCAGAGAATGAAGGTATTGTTGAGACCAGATATGACCCAAATTGAAGCCGAAATAAGGCAGAGAGCGCTCAAGGAATCGGGTCTGACAACAGTCACTCCAGTCTAACGATAGCTAACATATAAATCATTTTTTTGGTATATTATATGTTAAATATTTATTCTGAGAGAAACAGTACTTTCGTACCGATGCGTGAAAGTAATGCCATCACAACATCAGTATAAATATGATTATAATAACTATTATAATAGAAGTTTAAGAATTGCCAAAACGGATGGAAACTTAGATGAAGTCGTGTTCCCTTTGCTTCCATTTGAAGACAATTTTCAAACACAGAAACAAATGATATATTAATGTCAGAAACAATACAGTAATTGTTAAGAAACCAAAAAATATGACTACAATTTTCTAGTAAAGCATTAGCAAAATGAAACAAAACAATTGATTTAAACTCTCAAAACATACTAAATAATGTTAATGCAAATGTTTGTCTTCCAAATACATTAGAAATACAACAAATCATAACTTATTTGTAATTTAATTGTAAACTATTTTAAAACTAAGAATACTTATCATAATTTGAGTTATCGATTGTCACAGTTATACATATGATATCAAACATAACATATTTGATTGCCTTTTCTCTGGATTTGAGTCTTACGATAGAAAACATAAGAATTAAAAATACAAAACCTTAACTAAAAATTTTATTAATGATAATAATCATTATCATTATTACAAAAAAACAAATCATACGTTAGTTATTATTGTTAATATCATTATAATAATTAGTTATATTACATATCAAATGAGACAAAACAAAGTGTTAAAAAGTTGATTGAATAGGGCTTCCAAAACAATTCACAACTACTTTACTCTCAAATACCAAACCAAACAAAATACAAGAATCTATGATATAATTGAGAGCAAAGAATAATACAATTTATTAGAATTTTTAAGTTTCATATATTATATATATAAATAAAAAGGTCATTATTAAATCTAATGCTCATTAATTGTTTTACTAATCCTTTACTTATATGAAGTATTGTTTTCCCAAAACAACACATTTAAGAAAAATCAAATTGTGATTATATATAAGAAAATATATATATAATATATGCTTCTATTGCCTAATTGTTAACTCATTTACAAAATATATATTCATTTTGTGCTTCACTATTAAGATTTAACAAAAATTAATAAAAAACAAACATTTCATTGAAACAAAAAATGCAAACAAAACAAATACTGATGTAATCCTGTCTTCCAGTAATTCTCATTACAGTCTTAATTATCTATCGTTTTATATTAATTATATAAATAAATAAATATATATATTTAGAGTTTATTTGGATTAATATGAAAAAGTTTAGTTATATATAAATATTATATATACAAATATATACAATATTATACAAACTATATTATTAATAATATTACAACAAAGGATCAGAGCATACAATACTCTCTTCTTTCTCGACTTCTCTCACATTAGATGTACAGTAAATCTACTTATAATTTAAGTTTTAAATACATTACAACACGAGATATAAAACTAATAATTATATTTAATTATGTTTTTCTATTTAAAATGAATACTCTTTTATCTACTTTTTTCGATTCCGTTTATTATTTGCAATTGTTTGACAACTTTTGAGTTCAAAATTTCACAAATTATTGTATCGATTGTTATAATTTTCAAATTATAATAAATAATAACAATGAGTTTATTAAATAAAACATAGTTTACATTTATTTCAATTTATATGAATATTTTATCAGTAAATCCTTATTTACAGAGAATATAATGCATACATCATATTCAGCATACAATCTAATGACGTTAACAACACATTATCCAAAGTATACTAAACTGCATATGAATTATGGAAACATAGAATTTGATGCACTTTTAGGCAAACAATGAATTGTATTTGAAATGTTGAAAAATATTCATATTTACCATTGATTTATTGGATTTGCATTACTGTGCATATAATACAAACCCCAGACTAATTCAATGCGAACTATTATATCAATACATTATGTAAATTACAGTGTATTGAAAGTAATGTTTTGATTGCATAATGTAGAATTAATCAATTTAGTGTTCAAATCAATTCTTTAAATCAATTGAACATGTTGTATTTACGCATTTCTATTTGCTTGACGTTACAACTGATTAAATTAACATATTATAAACATGATTTATTATTTATCTAAAAAATATAATATAAATTTAATACAAAAATTTAAATCCATTTATATTTAACCAAAAATTAAATATTAAAAATAAATCAAATTATTCAATTAAATTACATTCAATACTATTAAATACTAATTGAAAGAATAGTTTCAATTTTTCAATAAAACATAATTTGTAAATAATATTAATCACAATTTAATCTATTATTGCAATTGTTGACTATAACCGACGACTTTAACAAACAATTCTATAAACCACATTTATATTTGAATTGTGGTTCAAAATTGACCATGGTCATATCGTCATCAATATAAATGACGACTACATTCTATTAATCAACTAAAATCTGTCCATAAAATAAAGACTATTGACATTTGACTTTAGATAACATAACCTTTTTTATGATGTAATCCAATATATATTATATTAATAACTATATTATTATTATTGGATTATTTGTGTCAAAATGTTATATAATAGACAGGCGTTGATGACGACGGATGCGCTTATTTATAGATTCAATACAAATATATAAAACCTACAATAAAATGATAGTTTTACTGATAAGGAATAGTAATTAAGCTAATTACAAATTATAATCTAATTTAAAATAATTTCTAAATTACAAAAGCATTAAAAAAAACATTTAAATGACTTTTTAATTCACTAATAACTCGTGTCATAAACAACATTAAAGAATAGAGTTTTACCCAAAATTTTAATGTAGAATATGATTGGTTTAACTCTAATAATCATTTTATTTGATAAAATAAAATAGAAAATATTATTGTATTAAAAATATTTGATATGATATAATTAGAAATGTTTAAATGTTTGCACACCATGTTAATAGAACATTAATTTTTTCGTAGATGTTACGGAAAATTTTACTATTTTTACTATAACTTAATAATTGAATCTTACAATTGTTAGAAGTGCCTGCATAATTTTTAATCAAGTTTTATGTTTATTGTTTTATTCAAATTATTTCAATTTTTCTTAATAATCATACACAACTTTACATTAATCTTTAAAAAATTTTAATACAATGCCGCTAAATTTTAATATAATACATTAAATAACTAATGTAATATTAATATTTAATTAAAAATTAAATCTTGTAAAATGTGGGTTTAAATATGTTCCAAAGTATATACAGTATTATTAAGAATTATATGTAAAATTGGCGTAAGATTCTTTGTAAATGTTGACCAATAATTACTTTTATATTTAGTTTAATATTTCATAATATAATCGACGAGAGAGAGAGAGAGAGAGAGA